GGGGGGGGGGGGGGGGTGCGCTCAGAGTACCCCAAAGTAAGAACCCTTGTGGAAGGAATGATCTCTAGCCAGTCTAAAAGGACACCGACTTGACTGAACAATTAAAGCCCTGGTTAGTGGACACTCCACCTAGGGGTCACCCGTGGGTGGTGAAACGAGATGACACATTTCAGTGTTTCAGAATGGGAACTGTTTTCTTGTCAACACCTTCTCCCTGCCCCCCCCCCCACCTCTTTGTTTTAAACTCAGTCTGCTACTTTGAGATGGAACTTTCTATGACTCATCAACTGTTTTTTGTTTTTTTGTTTTTTTGCTTTGTAAATTCCAAGTCTGTAAATTTTCAATCAATTGCAAACAACAAATACAGAATTTCCTGCTTAGCATTAACTAAATTAACTTGAAGTGTTTTCATATGGTTATATCAGAATAAGTTGTGTTTTTTCTAAAATCTTTGTGGAAGAGCTCTCAATAATTTTTTTTTTACATTAATTTTTTAATACACTTAGCTGAAATTTTTCCCTTTGGTGCTATATTGGTTCCAGTTCTGTCTAAAGGTGGCCTCTCCTGTGGAAAGTTCTGGGGTAAAGAGGTGATGATAACTATAGTGTATGAAGTTTCATGACTGTGAAAGAAGGCCTTCTCTAAACATTTAAATTTTTGAAGCAATTAGTAGAGAAAAAAGATATTCTTTTGAATAAATTGTTTCCATGATTGAATTATAAAAGGGATCACTCATTTGAAATATTTTAAGTTGTATCATTTTGGCAATGAAAACTAAGGGAAGCCTGTTTTAAAAATTCTGACATTTATATGCATTTTCTTCCTTTTTGCCTTTATGGATTCTGTTCTTAAAGATTGAACAGCACAATCACTTTAAATTTAGAAAGTGTATAGCACAAAATCTTGGACTCGGTTATTCTCATTTGGAAATCATAAAATCTTTTTTTTTTTTAAACATGAGAATGAATGTTGAGATCTTGAAGTGATTATGAAGTTGCAAGCCTATAGAGAATAAAAAATTAAGAAACTCTTGCGTTTAAATCGATCATTCTTTACGTGACTTGTTTTTATAGCTAGGAAGCAAGACATATTTTGGAGCTCGGCATGTGTATTCTAAAATGCATATAGACCATTTACTATAATTTCACAGAGAGTAAGAAATGTGGGGACTTCCCTGGCAGTCCAGTGGATAAGACTCTGTGCTTTCACTGCTGAAAGCCCAGGTTTGCTCTCTGGTTGGGGAAATAGAATCCCACAAGCCTCTCGGCACGCCAAAAAAAAAAAAAAAAAAAAGGGAAAAGAAATGTGCTATAAGATTCTTTTTGCACTTTGCCATAGATAATTTTTAAATTCTTCTTAAACTTTCCAAGGAGAAGAAATAGAATTAAGGGATCTCTTAAACCATATGAACTCAGAGCTGGAAATGGCCTTTAAACAGCAGCCAGTGCTGGAAGCTTTGAAACACACCTCATCCAAGTGATAATCTGTACATTCGATGTAACCATTTGAAGTCAGAGGCCTAAACAAGATTTCACAGGATGGTTGCTTCTACTTGGCTCTGCTTTGCTTCCAAAATGTTACCTCTTTTTTCCAATTTTATGGAAACTTGGATGAATTGGATCAATTTTTAAAAAAGCATCTCTGGACTTCTCTGGTGGCACAGTAGTTAAGAATCCGCCTGCCATTGCAGGGGACACGGGTTTGAGCCCTGGTCCGGGAAGATCCCACATGCCGCGGAGCAACTAAGCCCATGTGCCACAACTACTGAGTCTGTGCTCTAGAGCCTGCGAGCCACAACTACTGAGCCCACGTGCTGCAACTGCTGAAGCCCGCACGCCTAGATCCCGTGCTCCACAGCAAAGGGAAGCCATCGCAATGAGAAGCCCGCAAACCACAGCAAAGAGTAGCACCCATTCGCCACAACTAGAGAAAAAGCCCACGTGCAGCAACAAAGACCCAATGCAGCCGAAAATAAATTTATTTTTTTAAAAAAAGCATCTGTTCACTCTTATTTGCACTTCAAACTCTGCAAACTATCCCTTGAGCTGTATATATGCACAGCTGAAATTTGATTAGAGAATATTGTTTGCAAAGGGCCTGACTGCTTGGGAAAGGTCATCTTCCTAGGATAAAGTTTCCTTTATCCTGAAACAAATGATCTTCCTTTATAGAGGCGTACCAAGATGTTTTAACTGAAGTGTTGCAGGTTGAGTTGGGAGGGTGTGAGGCGGCCCCGCCGGATCAGGCACACACCTCATCTTTGTAGCATGTGTCGTTGGGTGTGAGGCATCTTTGAGGGCTGGTTACTTCTGGTAAACAGCGGTTTGTTTAAGGAGTAGGAGCAGGCATGGCTGTAGTTCTGCTCTGCCTGTGTTTTGAGTAGATTCTTTACAGTTCATTTTTGAAAATTTTCAGGTACATGACACAAGGAATTTTTATAGGGGAGCTGTGCCTTACCACAGTATTAGAGTGGAATTCTCCAGTTAACTTTAATGCTTTTAGTTTTTAGTTTTTAAAATTTATTTATTTTTGGCTGCGTTGGCTCTTCTTTGCTGCGCGTGGGCTTTCTCTAGTTGTGGCGAGCGGGGGCTACTCTTTGTTGCGGTGCGCGGGCTTCTCATTGAGGTGGCTTTTCTTGTTGTGGAGCACGGGCTCTAGGCGCTCAGGCTTCAGTAGTTGTGGCACGCAGGCTCAGTAGTTGTGGCTCGCGGGCTCTAGGCGCAGGCTCAGCAGTTGTGGCACACGGGCTCAGTAGTTGTGGCTCGCGGGCTCTAGAGCGCAGGCTCAGTAGTTGTGGCACACGGGCTTAGTTGCTCGGCAGCATGTGGGATCTTCCCGGACCAGGGCTCGAACCCGTGTCCCCTGCATTGGCAGATGGATTCTTAACCAGTGTGTCACCAGGGAAATCCCAGTGCTTTTAGTTTTTTGTTTTGTTTTGTTTGTTTGTTTTCTGTACACGGGCCTCTCACTGTTGTTGCCTCTCCCGTTGCGGAGCACAGGCTCCGGACGTGCAGGCTCAGCGGTCATGGCTCACGGGCCCAGCTGCTCCGCGGCATGTGGGATCTTCCCGGACCCGGGCACAAACCCGTATCCCCTCCATCGGCAGGCGGACTCTCAACCACTGCGCCACCAGGGAAGCCCTGCTTTTAGTTTTTTTAAGGAAGTGGGCTTAACCTGTTTTCCCTTCCCCATGTACCTACTAAGTGTTCTGTTTCTATCAGAAACAAGTAGTTTGCTTCAAGATTGGAAACCAGCTCAGTTTTCTAGCTCTTAAAGCTTGTCTTCTTTTATTTTTAAGATTACAAGCACTCTGCCACTGCTGCTTATCTAAGATGACTTGGAGAAAGCAGCAAGTCTCTGTGCTCCTTTGACTTAAGTTGCTGTATTAGTCATTCTCCAGAGAAACAGACAATAGGATAGGAACTTCCATGGTGGAGCAGTGGCTAAGACTCTGAGCTCCCGATGCAGGGGGCCCAGGTTCGATCCCTGGTTAGGGAACTACATCCCACATGCATGCCGCAACTAAGGAGCCCAAGAGCTGCAACTAAAGAGCCTGCCTGCCGCAACTAAGACCCAGTGCAACCAAATAAATATTTAAAAAACAAACAACAGGATATACAGATATAGATATGAGGAGATTTATGATAGGAATTGGCTTACATGATAATAGAGGCTGAGAAGTCTCACCATCTGCCATCTGCAAACGAGACTCAGGAAAGCTGGTGGTGTCATTCAGTCCAAGTCCTAAGGCCTGAGAACCAGGGACACCAATGTCCAAGGGCAGAAGAAGGTGGATGTTGCAGCTCAAGCAAAGAGCAAAATTGCCCTTTCTCCTT